CCCAAGAAAAAAATGTCTTATATTCTTGCTTACTTTTAATATACGTTTACTCTATCTATAGTCTATCCTTAACTGTTTTATTTCTTTTAGGTTGTTAGTTACACTTACCTGTGTTGCTTATAGAAGAGAAACTGATGAAAACATTACTGAAATTGAATAAAAAGTAAACTTGTTAATAAATTGCTTATATCATTTAACTTTCGTTCTGTTGAATGAAAGTTATTGACTAAAATATGTAGCTATTTTGAAAATCTTTTTCGCATAAATTGTTAAAATTGCAATAATTAATTCATTTTAAATACTGGAAAAGAATTTTTATGAAAAATAATATTTTGTGAAATATTATATACAGAATTTAATTAGGTAGTTTTCAAGTTTGTGAAAAAATTGACTAAATGTTTTCGTTTCAGATATTATGTTATTGATTTGCACTTACTGTTCCTAATATCATTTTAGGATAAATTTTGAGTATCATTGCGAAAGATTCAATAAAATATTGAACAAATTTTTCTCTGTGTAAGGCTGAAATAATGGAGCACCCAACAAACAAACCTTAGACACGTAAAATTTTTCTATTTTAATGATACTATTGCGGCAAACATTGACTGACTTTTACATTGAGGCATGAAGAATTGATGATAAGGTCTTTGAAACTTAGTCGAGTCAGTGACCTTGAACTAAAGAATTATCCTTGGCGTTATTTAGGAAAATCCAAGAGCAATGCAGTTGATAGTTCTCTGATTGAATGCACGTTTACCAAATCGATTGACCTTGTCTATAACCACATCTTGTCATAATGCCTTATCGGATGTATATTATATGTATACGTACGTAAATGTTATAATTAAATACGTAGATTTGCGTTGAAAACGTTATTAGCGGTTATTACAAATTACCAACGAAATTGTGATGAAATTATTCATAATAAAATATCGAACTTATCATACATTTTTATAATACATTTTTTTTGTATTCTGTATCCCCTGTGTGCAAAAAATTTAGGATACAGTAGTTGAAATATCGTCAAAACAGAGATTTTCGGTCCTAAACGTCAATAAATATTTAGTAACAAATGGCATTACATCAGTTTTGAAAAAAATTATGCATAGAAATATTTATAATTGGATCTAAGAAGATGAGTTTGATGATAATGGTTAGAAGACGAAACATTACATGAAAGATTTTACCAAAAATACAAATGGAGGAGCGAAAATGAAATATTTTGCATTATTCCCAAGCTACACTGAAAAAAAGTATTTGGATCAAAAGATCCACTTCTTATTTGTGGAAGGGCGAAATGGGCGGTGACTATTAGACGCCTTCATTATAGCCATCTTTCTCTATCGCACGGATTTTTATGACTTACCTTATCGCTCTCACGTAACGGCCGATGAACCATGGGGACTTTCCGACCCTGTATAAACGTACGGTACCTTAAAATCAAATGTTGTACATTTGAATAAATATTTTTTTGTGTGTGTAGTGAAGATATTTTCAATGTCTTCGAGATATTATTATTCATTGCACAACCTTTTCCGTAATAACTCGATCCTTAACGGTGTTAGATAATTTTATAGCTCTAATTTGAAACACCCTATATATAAACTGTGTTTTATTAAATCTCAGTTTATTAATTATAACCTTTATATCAAACCACTGTGGTAATCCCAAACGGATATTAAATGAATTTCCTTGTGAAGAAATTTATAACAGTCTTAAACCAACGAAAATGTACTTATACTTTCATCAGGTACCTTCAAAATCTAAAATTGAAGACAACATAGTAAATTTACAGCGCTTGACCTTGAAATCAAGTCAATTTCATAATTTAAGCACGTTACAGGTATATTCCTCCTTACAAACGAAACTATCAAAAATGTGTTGTACTCTGGTATCACAATTTTAAATTTGGGAGATTTTAAACGAAATTGTAATTAATATTTAAACTCTCTTTAAATCAAGAATATGTAACAGGTTAATATTCCGATTTCTGTCCTTACACTATCTAGATTAATACTAAATAATTAATTCCGGTCCGTGTGTGAGTGTATGTTCGAAGGTCAATACTCTACTAATATAGATATACCAGTTTTCGTATTATTCATTGTCGATTAATATTCATAAAAATAAATTTAATTGTAAGTTGAGGCATATGTAGTCACTTTTCCTAGTTTCTACACCACGTTTGCTTCTTTTGCTGTAAATGCAAGATGCCTGTATTAGACGGGACAGAAAAATTTATTTTCTGAATTTATTAATTTAATTATAATCATCAGTGAAAGAAGTTTAAGGTATAAAATAAACCTAGTTGGAAATCAAACACCAATCTAGCATATTTTTTAATATGTAATACATATTATTTTGTGGTGTTTATTCATTCATTAATTTATTGTTGTATTTTATGTACTAATTTCTTGTCGACCACATTTTTCCTCATTTTAATATAGGAAATGTTTATAGAATTGTAGTTAGGAAAATATACTCACACTCGAAAATGAGACTTTTTTCGAAAAACATAAGTGGGTAGTAATTTGTAAAAAATTGAAAGATGTATCTGAAAATATCATTATTGTTACCGTAAACCAGTGGCGTATTATTTTATTTAGAAATATATGCCTACGAAACCTGTATCTCCGCCACTGGAGCATCTAAATTTTAGAAAAACTCCTCAGATTTTGGACAATGTTTACATAAATACATGTGCCCAATTTCAAATTATTTTTTAAATTATTTAAAAAAATTTAAAATATTTTTTGAAATTCAACACCCTGTATCTTTTTAACGAAATGTGCTAGATAAAAACTTTATAGGAAAGGCTCTTCTTAAAATGTACCAAAGAATGCGAGGTTTCATTTTTGACCACAATTTTTGCGAATAACCCTGTATACCTCAAAAGACTATTAAGATATCAGAAACCATGAAATCTACCGTCCCCTTGAAAAGGGTATATTTTCCTTAACATAAATATAGCAGATAAAAGTTCTTGTGTGTTAATGAAATAGTTTTTAACAAATACTATTTATATTTGACACTGTATTAGAGTTGGGGTTTATTTATTTACTTACTTACATCTTTTCTGTTCGTAAACTTTTTGGACAAAATATTTTTTGAGCAATGTAGCACTCTTTGTTTCAAAAGTGGGTGGTCCAGGAGCAAATGTTCATAGAAGAAGTTATTCTAAAATTTGCAAGAGAATTTTATCATTTTCTTACATTACGTTTTGCATTTTCGTTACATAAAATTAGGAAGATTACTGTTGAATAATTCATTCGATCAATTTCTTAAATACTAATAAAATTGCAAATTATAAATAAACTGTGCACCGTGGACACATTAGATATATTTATAAATATATCTAATAAAAAACAATCAAATGTACCTGCAATAACCAGGGAATTTGTTCGTGCTAAGACAAAATTTTATTTTTAGATTATTATGCGGATCCTATTATATCATCAATAATATGGAATACATTACTAAAACGGGATGCTGTGAGATGAAAGTATAAGCCATTAAATAAATGTGATGTGTTCGATGATTGTTCCTATTAGCAGCTACTCAAACTGAAAATTAAGTAGGTTTGTGAAAAAATATTGCACTTTATACAAAATAAAATCAAAAAACACTAAGAATGATTCGTACATTTCGGAAAGCTGAAAAGAAAAATAAATGTACTTTTATAAATTTCAACTGATGCTGATGAAGAGTTTTTATCATCGTTAAAAAGACACAGGGTGTTAAACTTAAAAAATATATTTTTGATTTTTTTAAACAATTTAAAAACTAGTAAGTAAAATTCTATTCGTAATTTTATGATCTACGTAGATTTTATAGAAACATGTTTTGTATTGTATATTAATGTATCGTTTGTTTAATACAAAATTGAATAGTTTTGATCAAATGATTCTATATAACTTATTTTAAGAATATATTTGGATATAAATATGTCTTAGTAATAAACAATATTTTGTTTCAAACTCACAAAACACCTAGTCAACAGCTAGGATCGTTTGTAATTTTAACTAACCAGACATAGATCGGTTTGGGACTTATTGATGGTCCTCATCAATATGTCGTTAACCGATCCAGCTACTTTATTTTCGTTAGTCACAAGAAAACATAAGTTTGATTATAATATACTACATTTGTCTTGAATAATTCCTACATTACTACTAAATTTTAAATATACATATATATTTTAAGGAAATGGTAGTTTTGAAACAAATATGTTTGCAGCTTATGATGAACTTTAAAAGATATTGCAGCTAAAGTCCGAGATAATAAATTTCAAAACTATAAAAGATTTGAATTAAATTATATATATTTACAAATAATATAAATTCTAAGGAAAATTATAGATTACAGCAAATATTTCACATAGTTTGACGAAAGTATATACATTTGAATAGAATAAAAAACATATACGGCAAATAATTCCAATTAAAATATATGCTCATTTGATCCAAATACTTTTTTTCAGTGTAGGGCAATTTATATTGTGCATAAAATGGGTAGCCAGTGAACTACGTCGCTAGAAACAGCAAAAATGAAAAAATAGAAATTTTCTTAAAATGGCATGGACAATATGTCCAATGGTGTGAAATACGTCACTGTTTATACAGGGTGTTTAAAACATACCACTGTCTTAAATTTTTATCAACATGGATCAAAAAATAGTTAACATCAGCTAAATTTCAATCAGATTACTAAAGTTTAAAAGAACTTTGACATCCTATATCTCAGAACCTATATAAAGATGGTCTTTTTGATTTAATTTTGGATAACAAAAATCTAGCCGTAAGTTTTTTTAAACTAAGGACTGAGAGGTGTTAAAGAAAATTTATAAGCATTTTGCGTTATGCCAGGTGACTATAAATAATTCTAAACAAAATATTATGCCACTTCATAAATAACGGTCAATTTTTTGATCGTCCTGACAGGCCGTTCCGTTCGAGGGGTCTATATTCGGCAATTTTCGAAAAATAGAATTTCCCTTACAGAAAAGATAACAGTGGTTTTAAAGCTTTTATGGCTTTGCACCTTTGTCAATGGCGATACTCTGAGACATTCCGCAGTGGCCTCTGTAACTGTTCTAATGATTCCAAACGTTTCGTCGTACTTCACTACCGACATCTTCAGTGGTGACTCTGCAAATGCCGTAGCAGATGTAGAACCAACAAGAACTTAAGGCTTCTAATAGCGGATACGACCCCATAGAGCCTAAGCCTAAGAACAACAAGTGTAGGTCACAGCTAAGGCTAAGGAAGTTAAATAAGGCCTGACAGATTTAAAAATTATGAAAATTGTATTAATTTACTATAATTTTTGTACAGCAATAAATAAAAAACTAAAATGTACCTATTTTTATTAATTTCATAAACCTTGCAAAGAAAATATTGACTTATCTATGAACGTATACCTATGTTGACTTGCATATATTTATTTGCTCATATTTATGCTTCTAAAAAGTTTAAATACATTAAAATTAAAAAAAAATGTTTGTGTTAAGTTAATGGAATTTGAATCACTACTTCAAAGTGACATTAGTTATGACCGTAAAAAGTAAGAGTAAAGTTTGTTCTACGTTTGTTTGCAGTAGACGTAGCTTGAACAACGTAATAATTATTGCTCAGATGTTCATATAATATCTTCGCCTAAGGTTACAAATGAAGAGATGATGATTAATAGTGATCTTCTCCGACGCAATATGTCGACATTATAAACTTTTCTAAATCATCCTGTTTAATGTCTGATAACCCAATATAATTCCAGAAGTCAATGCATATTTGTTATTTGAAAATATTGAGTATATGTCTAGGTAGATATAAACGAGGAAAAGTCATAAAAAACAAGAAATGTTTAATAACATTATTACAAGAAGGTTTATAAAAATTTATTTATTTTTTAAACAATCCTTACAACATCTCTTGGTCTATCGATACAGAAGCTTATAAATGGTTCTTGATGCACTTTTTAACCAATTTTGAAAAGTCCGAATTTGGACAGTACGATGGATATACCAACTCCCCAGACAGGTGGTCAATGTCGATAGATATGACAAAAAAATTCTATAAGCCTTATTATAAAAGCATTATAAATAATTTCTATTGTTTAATGAGATTGCCTCGTAGCTTTGTAACGTACCTGATATTTGTTAATGTAAATATTTTGATCATATATGGGGTATTGTTAAATTTTATTTTTTAAATTTAATATTTATTTCTTAATATCAGTGGGTAAAAATATTGACCAAGTTGTGCTTTGGTAAATAAGACTAAGTTTGACAAGGCGTTTCTAGTTGGATGTAATTAAGTCGTCGGAAACCGAGTAATTTAGTAATTATTAATTTCCTAATTTGTATGTCGATAATTTGGAAGGTTTTGAAAACGGTTAATATTTCGGATTTTAATGGACCCTGCACAAATCTTATGGAAATTGGGTCCCGGTCAAATTCGCTGAATTTTTGATATGTGATAGAGTTCATCATACTGGTCAATTGTCTCAATGGCCACAAAGCTCAAAAATGGATAGTTTGGCCGGTACAGAGCTTTAAAGCTCCGAATATCCTCCACGGATTTATGTATATGCGCAGTGTGTATAGACTTTTGAAATAGCCTATTTCATTTTTTTTATTATCTAGGTTTATATTTTTGAGGTTGCTGAATTCAGATCTGTTGTTAGATTTTCAAAATTGACAGTTGGCAGCTGTCAAATAGCTGTCAATGTGCTATAATAAAGCCAAAAACTTGTTTTTTTATGTTTTATCTTTCTTTTTTTTTAGTTCGATAAGTTCAAAGACGATATCAAATCAATAACAATGACTATCGGCAGCTGTCATTTAGCTGTCAACAATTCTTCAAAGTCCGGTAATAAAGTCAAAAAATAATTTTTTGTTTATAACTTCAAGTTTTTTAGAGAAGTGAATATAAATATGATATAAAATTATGTAGTCATCAGCTTACAGCTGTCAACAAGCTGTCAACTAACTGTTTTAATTTAATTTAGAGCTTGTCAATAGTTAAACTAAATAATTATATAGGTTGTCCAAGTTTTCATCTATCATACGGTAGGGTGGACCACCAGTAAGGCCTCGGTCGCTAGAGACCAAACAGCAAATGTTATAGAAACCTATACAGGGTGTTAAAAAAGAGTGTAAAATATTTAAGGAGGTAATAGTATGAACCAAAATAAGCAGAAAAGTCTCAATAAACACCCTGTATAGATGTGTATACGTAGCTTTAAATTTCCTAACTCCCAAAGTAACAATATACTGGGTGTCCCATTTAAAACAACCAAGTTATTGCTGTTTAAAGTGTCCAGTAGTTTTTTGATCACCCTGTACAATATTAATTGACAACAAATATATAATTTATAACTTCAAGGATCTAAAATACTCCAAAGCTGTTTCCTTAAAATTATTTTTTATTGCAAATATTAAATTTCTAAGCTTGCATTTTCACTAAAATTGAAATATCTTATGAACAAGATATGCAGAATCTTTAATAAAGTTCACCTATTTTTTTAGGGTGCTTTCAAAAATTTAATAAAATACAGGGTGTTCCATTTAAAAATACATAATTTTTAGAGGTACGCTTTTCCTGGACAGCCTGTATATTTCAAAATATTTTTAAAATATAACCGTAACCAACCTAAACATACTCACCTAAACAGGTTTCTATAACATTTGCTGTGTGATCCCTAGCGACCGAGGCGTTACTGGTGGCCCACCCTGTATATATTTTCTGAAGTAATAGAAGTATTTGATCCAAATTTGGTGTACGTTATATTAAATCATGTCTTCATACAATACTCTAATACCAAGATTCTTGCAGTGGTGGAGAAAATATGACAATAGGATAACGTTAGTGAGTATTTTTTAAGTATTCGATAAGTTATGGCAGTTCAAAGAAAAAATATTACCTTCAATTCGAAAAACAAATAATTTTCGAGTTTAATATATTTTTTTAGACTAAAATAAATTTATCACACAGTTGAACAAATCTAAAGTGAATCTAAAACCTTTCCTTTATTTTAAGTTTATTTTAAAATTAAAAATTAAATCGAAAATGGTTTGCTTTTAGGATAAACTGAAGTAGATATTTTCCTTGAAATACAATTGGAAATCAGATGAACTTATCCAATTTTCAGAATATTCAGTGGTGTCAAAGTTTTGACGTTTTGATTACGGTGTTTCCCAGTTTCTCCGCCATCCCATTATATGGTTGTCGTGCGTTGTCTTTGTCTATTCCCACCGTCCCCACTAGGTCATCTCATGACGTAGTGTGTGGCCTGTAGTATCTATTTATTCGGCTATTTTGGTGACTGACATGTTTAAATACAGTGGTTTGATTACAATAACTAAAAACATAATTGAGTCTCTAAAACAGATCCGTGTAGAAACTACTGTGGCAGCTTAGTAGTTTATGACTTTAATACAGTGATATTTAAATTAAAATTTAAAAAGAATATAAACCGAGTCTATGTAAAAAATTACTCAATAATAGTTAAATTTAGAGAAAGTCAACTTTTAATTGGTTCTATATACTCAGAATAGAGTAAAAAATAACTCACTTGAGTAAAATTCACTCACTTCTGTTGTACTAAATTCACTAACAAAATTTTAATTGTATTCATACTAATACAGTGAATATTTCACTTAAGCGGGTGTTGACAGAAATCGACACATTATTGAGTGAAATTGAATGAAATTGCGTAAAATTGAGTGAAATTATTTTCACAGTGCATTATCAGTACTTTTTAAATGTCAAATTAAATGGGCATACAGAAAATCGTATGACCGTCAAATTTTAAAAAATCTAAGACTGAAAAAATAGCCGGTTGCTAGAAACGTTAATGCATAAGCAATATCAGTGACATTTTAAATTCTTGTTGGTAGAATTTAAAACAGTTTTATATCCCGCGAATTGTTCCACACTGTAGCAGCGCACATGTCCAGTTTGCTTGAAAAGGAAAAAATCCCATTAAGGGATTTCAGCCACGTACATAGTCCATAAATCCCGACGTTTCTGTTTCCATCCATGTTTCACATCATAAAATAACAATTATTACCAACTGATAAATCCACAATCTCCATCTCGAACCTGCTGCGCTAGCTGTAGATAATTTCACTCGTAAATTCCACATCAGTCAGCCAGAGATTAGTCTTGAATGAATATGTATTAAGCAGCGCATAGCGGATATTTTATTGACTATTGTTCGAAAATGAGATATCACGTTTGTTTGTACGTACAGGAAGGAGTTACATGTCTTCGTAAATAGTTTCTCGTGCTGCTAAATCGGTTAAGTATTTATGGTCCCGCATATATGCCACTCTAAATATCTTACAGGATATTTTGGAAGTCATTCAAGACTGATATCGACTCGTTTGATACACTCTAGTCAAATTTGTGTCTTCGCTAAAGACCTATCTACGTGCCAATTTGGTTGACGTTTTATTATAACGGGTCTTCCCTCAAGACGTTTCATTTAAAATGTATAAGCATATTTTTTATTTTATATATACTGCGTGTCTAGTAAGTATACGGCAGACTCTCGGGAGTGTATAGGGGAGGTCAAAATAACCTTAGTTTGTCATAAAAAAAAATCCTAAAGTGCCCCTTAACGGGGATATAGAGCCCCAAAGGGGTACCCAGCGATTAACTTTTCGGTTCTAACATTTGAACCGACTTGTATAATTTAATGGAATTTTAATATTTTATGTAGGCCATAAAAGCATACCACAGTTAGGGTTTCTGATTTCTCGGCCTATTTTTTTTTCTCGGGAGTCGAGAATTCTCGACTAGGAATTTCCGGGAATTCTCGAATTCTCGAGAAATTTCTAAAACTTAAAAAAGGCATAATTTTGGTATTGCAATGCGAAATATAAACAATAAACATGCTATTATACTTAGCAATCATGATTAACATTTATTATTTATTCAGTAGTTTTATTAATTACATATATGTTTCTATTTCTACTAACAAAACTAAATTAAACGTCGAGTATCTTCTTCTTAAAAACCTTTAACTTGTTTTTTTTTTATTAAACACTCATTATACTTATGTTTATTTCAATGTCTTTGAATCGTAGCTTTCTTCCAATAATCATTAATCATGCAGTCTATTCATTAAACAAATAGTACTTAAATAAGGAATTTAACCCAAGAAAACTTAAAAAGAACAAGATTT